GGCTGCGGAACAGCGAGGGATGCTACCAGTTTCTTTTTCTGCTATCTGTGTCCCAGGATGATGTCTGCCGAATGTCAGTCTTATGGATATAGAGGGGTCAGGGAGTTGCTTGAGGAGACAGTCTGTAGGAGCTCAAGTTCTGAGCTGTGAGCTCTGTTGTTCATTCAGGGCTGCTAGGCTGCTATGTTTAGTTCTGCTGCAACCTAACTCGTAAGAAAACCCCTTTTTTTTCCTCAGATGCTCTGTCTGGGGGGGGTTGGGACTTTCCTTGTGAGTGTCCGCCTCACTGTCCTGCCCAGCTAGGAGGCAGTCTAGTCACTTTTTGCCTGCCGAGGCTCCGCCCTGCTGGTGTGAGGTTCGCCCTTTTCCTGCAGGCTCCGCCCTTCTGCTGTGGTCTCCGCCCTGTTGCCTCGGGCTACGCCCTGCGGAGGAGTCTCTCTGTTGTACCGGGTTGCCTGATCAGCGGCAGGCTGCGTCAGCAATGGGCGTGTACCTCAGTAGGGGCTGATTGCCTCGGTAATGGCTGACGCCCCTCCCCCGCAGAGCTGCACTTTAAAAAAAAACCTATTCACCAGGAGCGTTTGGAATCACCGTTTTGTTTGTCGCACTGCGCTCCCCCAAACGCTGAGTCCCTGGGATTTCCTGGGTCACAGTTCAAGACCCGTTCAGTCTCAAGTTCAGCCCTCTCGGGTCTTAGTTTGCCGGTTCAACAGGGCACCCATAACAGTGCGCTTATGTATGGAGCGCTGTGGAGCGCCTCTGCGCTCCAGCGTGGGCCGGAGCCGTACCGGCTGCCGGCTACGCCAGCGGAGACTTCTGCCTGGCATCCCGCGTCTCTTTTATACCTGGGAATTTCCCCGTTCTGTGGGCAACTAAGATCCGTCTGGAAATGCTTCCCCGACTCACCCTCTCCGTGCGTCCAGCGAGAGCTTCAATCCTGGGTTGTTCTCACAGCGCCATCTTGAGTCCTCCCCATATTTCTTAAAATTTTTTAATGAATACATTAATTTAAAATGTTAAATTCTTTAAAATCTAGTTCTCTTTTTAATATATGTAGTGTTAGTATGTATACATGTATTTTCATTTACCTGCAACTAACTCAAGTAACTAATATCAGAGGAAACAAAGCTTTGAATTTTTCAGGTGAAAAATTACTAATATTTGTAGATGGAAATATCCCAATTTATGACATATCAGTAAATGTGCAAGCAGTTTTCACAAATGGAAATATTTATAATAACTTTGCAAATTATATGCCCTGTAAATACCTAATATGAACAGGATTGTGAACACGAGCAAACCATCTTGCCTTGGCAGTTGAAATCATCATAAAAGCCAACACTTATTTACCAAATCCTCCCTGTATGCTGGATTCTCTTAAGTGCTTACCAAGATGAAAGACATTTGATCCTTTGAAATTGCTGCTGTTACCATCCCAGTCTTACCCACGAGGCAAGAAAGATTTAAATCAAGGGATTAGTTGACACAGGATCCTAAAGCTAGTGGCACAGTCTAACCAAATATGCTCTTCACTGTGACACTAGACAGCTTCTCAGGTGCTAGTGTGTTGCATGCTCATAGGCTAGAAAACAGTTCAACAAAGAATTTACTGTTTGTATGTTTTTCAAAATTATCTTCACTGTAATAGTTTTAAAAAGCAGGTAAACACACAGGCATATATAATAAGCTGTCATTTATGTGGACCCTGGTGTGTTTCTTTCATTATATAATATGTCATTGTTTTTTAGACTAAAAGTTTCCAGTCCTTTATGAAGACTCATTAAATGTTATCTAATCCTACTTACTTTCCAATTAAAAGAAATCATTTTAAAGTAGATTAAACTTTATTTGGACAGGGGCCTTTGGGGAGATTGGGATGGAGTAGAGCTGCAGGCAGAGTTAGGTGCTTAGGAAGCTGAATATGTATTGCCAACAGTTTACACACTCATGTGCATATAAGTAATTTTTCAGCATAAAAGTAATTTTTCGGCCAGGCGCAGAGGCTCAAGCCTGTAATCCCAGCACTTTGGGAGGCCGAGGCAGGTGGATCACGAGGTCAAGAGATCGAGACCATCCTGGTCAACATGGTGAAACCCCATCTCCACTAAAAATACAAAAAATTAGCTGGGCATGGTGGCGCATGCCTGTAATCCCAGCTACTCGGGAGGCTGAGGCAGGAGAATTGCCTGAACCCAGGAGGCGGAGGTTGCGGTGAGCTGAGATTGCACCATTGCACTCCAGCCTGGGTAACAAGAGTGAAACTTCGTCTCAAAAAGTAATTTTTCAATCAGTAGAGTGTAGAAGCACTTTCATATGAGGAAGTCTGAAAAAAAGAGAGCAGGGAGAGCTTTGTACTTAAAAGGACTAGTTATTTATTACTAATTGAAAGTCTGAAGACATATTTCTTTTTTTTCTTTTTTATTTTTATTTTTTTTTGAGACAGGGTCTCACTCTGCCACTCAGGCTGGAGTGAAGTAATGTGATCTTGGCTCACTGCTACCTCTGCCTCCTGGGTTCAAGCGATTCTCCCACCTCAGCCTCCTGCATAGCTGGGACCAGGTGTGTACCACTACACCTAGCTAAATTTTATATTTTTTTAGTAGAGACGGGTTGTCACTATGTTGGCCATGGCTGGTCTGGAACTCCTGACCTCAAGTGATCCCCCGCCCAAAGTGCTGGGATTACAGGCATGAGCCATCGCACCCGGCCCTGAAGATATATTTCTAATGAACGTAAAATAATTTCTGTAAATAAAGCAATAGTTAATTAGACAGTACACTTTAAGATTTTTTCATCAGATACTCTAGGAATGTAAAATTTGAAATTTGTGCTTCTGGTATTTTATTCTATCTGGAGACATGCTATAAATATCTCTAAAATTTTGACAAGACGTAACATAATCTAAGTTTAAATTGTTTCATTTTATATATATTTGTGACCTTATATATGTTTCAAAAATTTTGTTTCATTTTTATAGATTTAAGGGGTGCTGACCGGGCACAGTGGCTCAAGCCTGTAATCCCAGCACTTTGGGAGGCCGAGGCGGGTGGATCACGAGGTCAAGAGATCGAGACCATCCTGGTCAACATGGTGAAACCCCGTCTCTACTAAAGATACAAAAAATTAGCTGGGCATGGTGGCGCGTGCCTGTAATCCCAGCTACTCAGGAGGCTGAGGCAGGAGAATTGCCTGAACCCAGGAGGCGGAGGTTGCGGTGAGCCGAGATCGCACCATTGCACGCTAGCCTGGGTAACAAGAGTGAAACTCGGTCTCAAAAAAAAAAAAAATAAGGGGTGCAAGTGCACATTTCTTGCATGCATATATTGCATAGTGGTGAAGTCTGGCCTTTTAGTTAGCCATTACCCAAATAATGAACTTTGTACCTGGTAGGGAATTTTTCAGTTCTTACCCACTCCCACCCTGCCACCTTTTAGTCTCCAATATCTATTATCCCAGTCTGTATATGCATGTGTATTCATTGTTTAGCTCCCACTTACAAGTGAGAACATGTGGAATTCTATTTTCTCAGTTATTTCACTTAGGATAATGGCCTCCAGTTCCATGTATGTTGCTTCAGAACATGCTTTTTTTCTCTTCTATGGATGAATTTTTGTGTGTGTGTGTGTGTGTGTGTGTGTGTGTGTGTGTGTCTTTTGATACAATTTATCTTCCTTTCAATCCTAATAGTGGAATTGCTTGATCAAATGGTTCGTCTGTGTTTCTTCAAAACATGCTTTTATTTTCTTCTATGGATGAAGTGTGAGTGTGTGTGTGTGTGTGTGTGTGTCTGTCTTTGTCTTTTTGATATGTTTTATTTTCCTTTCAGTCCTAGTAGTGGAATTGCTGGATCAAATGGTTCTCTTTTTAGTTATTCAGAAATCTTCACACTGTTTTCCATAATGGATACTAATTTATACTTCCACCAACAGTATACAGGCATTCTCTTTATTCCACATCCTTGCTAACATCTGCTGTTTATTAACTTTTTAATAATAACCCTTCTGACTGATGTAACATAGTACCTCATTGTGGTTTTAATTTGCATTTCTTTGGTGATTAGTGATGTTGAGCATTTTTTCATATGGGTCTTTGGCCACTTGTATGTCTTTTGAAAAAATGTTCATGTCCTTTGCTCACTTTTTAATGGGGTTATTTAATTAAGTCCCATTTGTTTATTTTTGGTTTGTTACATTTGCTTTTGGGGACTTGGTCATAAATCCTTTGCCTGGGCCACAGGAGAGTTTTTCTTAGAATTTTTTCTAGGATTTTTATAGTTTCAGGTCTTACATCTTTAATGCATCTTGAGTTTATTTTTGTATAAGGTGAGAGGTGTGAGTTCAGCTTCATTCTTTTGCACATGACTATCCAATTTTCCTAGCATCATTTATTGAATAGGGTTTGCTTTCCCAAGTGTATATTTTTGCTGACATTGTCCAAGATGAGTTGATTATAGGCGTGTGGCTTAATTTCTGGGTTCTCTATTCTTTCCATTGATCTATGTGTCTATTTTTATCAGTACCATGCTGTTTTGGCTGCTATAGCCTTGTACAGTTTGAAGTCAGGTAATGTGATACCTTCTTTTTGTTTAGGATTGCTTTGGCTATTTGGCCTCTTTTTTGGCTCCATATCAATTGTAGGATTGGTTTTTCTAATTTCTGTGAAGAATGACTTCGGTAATTTGATTGGGATTCAGTTGAATTTGTAGATTGCTTTAGGCAGTATGGTCATTTTAACTATACTAATCCTTCCAGTTTGTGCACATGGGATGTTTTTCCATTTGTTTGCGTCACAGTTTTCTTTATCAGTGTTTTACAGTTCTCCTGGTAAACATCCTTAACCTCCTTGGTTAAGTGTATTCCTAGGTCGTTCTTGATTTGGTCCCCTGCAGATTGTTATTTCTATGTGGAAATGCTGCTGATTTCTAACTGTTGTTTCCTGAAACTTTACTGAATTCATTTATTCAATCTAAGACTTTTTTTGTGGAAAATATGTTTTAATAGGTTAAAGAAATGGAAGGGATTCTGAAGAGAAGATATCCCAATTCTTTACCTGCTTTAATATTGGCTGCATCAGCAGCTGGTGACACAGTGGATAAAAATACCGTGGAATTTATGGAGAAAAGGATTAAAAAGCTAGAAGCTGATCTGGAGGGCAAAGATGAAGATGCAAAGAAAAGCCTTCGTACCATGGAACAACAGTTTCAGAAAATGAAGGTAAGTGCAAAATAGCCTCAGAGATAAAGGTCAGAGTTAGACCCCAGGGTAAGCACTTCTTAGGATCTCACTTTAACAAATAGCTGTAAACATTTTTTCCCATGAAACCTTTACCACTGGTATCAGTAGGTGCAACAGAAACCAAGTCCATCCTATTTTGGCATCCTCTTTCAGCAACTTTTCTTTTTATTTCTGACAGAGTAACCAAGCACAGGATAATATTTACATCACCTCTCCTAATATTAGAATTAGTGGAAATTAATTCATGAAAAAGCAGAATAAAACACACCTGACAAGTATTCAGTACAAAAGGAAAAAAGAAATTACCATGGTTCAAAATATTTTCACTGAAATTTATCTGGAGAAAAGTAAGGGAATAAGAAGTATACATTTTAGGGAACGGAACAGCAGGTAGGGAAGAATCTTCCAGGAATGTCTTACTGTCTGAGTTTTCCACTATTTTGTGAAATAGGAATGAATCAGAAAATACAAGTGCTTGAACAGACCAAGTATGAAACAGGACATGATATTTTACTTAAAATTTTTGTAGGCAAATCACAGTTGTAGATTATTGTTAAAAATTTGTTGAGCACATGGTTTCTGTCAGGAATTCATGCTTGATACTTTCATAAATATCTCTGTTAATCTTGCATAATCCTTCCAATCACCTGTGAGGAATAGATATTGTTAACACTATTTAGCAGATGAGGGAGCTGAGACATTCACAGTTCAACCACCTTGTCCAAGGTTTCACTGCTGGTAAGTTGGCAGAGTAAGAGGCCTCAAGCCCAAGGCATCTCGTACCAACCCTTACAACCACACTCTTTCCAGGAAGCTCCTCTCATTCCCCACAGATGTCTATCCTCAGAAAGCAGCAAATGAAAGAACATTAGGTTCCAAAAACAGAAGGTTCATAACCTGGAAATACAGTGACCTGATAATTGAGGTCACATCAAGGAGGTTGGGTTTTATTCCACCCACATTTTCAAATCTCTCAGCACCTGCCTGTTTACTTCTCACCATACTAAATTCTCATGTGTGCCCCTTTAGACACCCAGTTTTCATCCACCCTTAACATACTGTCTTGGTGCCCATAGTGCATCCATCTCCTCCACTCTTATCACACTGCTTTGTGCTTCTGAAGGAGATTACCCAGTTGAGAGAGAGAGACTGCACAGATATATGGGTATCTAGTCTCATGAATTCTTTTAGTGCCACTTGGCAAGCCTGTTGCATGTGGGTAATCAATTCCTTCTTCCATTTTCCTAAGTATTCACAGTGGCCCTTCATCAAGTGCATCTTGCCCCAACCCATACCACTACTCTACTTTTAAGATACCCTCCCCCCTATATGTCAGAGACCGCAGCTTAATGTAAACAGCACAAGTGTTAGAGGCAAACCAACCTTCCATCTAGGCCTACTTATACGATGATAACTTCATGACTTTGTGCTCACCAATTTACGTCTCTGAGCCTCAATTTCCTCACATTTAAAAGAAAAAATGAATGACTTATTGCCAATTATCAACTTTTACTCTAAATATCTTTCACTTCTACTGTTCCTTTTCATCAGCATATCACAATACTACAATCATTAATAACAAGTGGCATGGATTACTGCATAACCTCTTGACTAGTCTACATATATCCACTTTGCCCTATCTTCTAAGTCTTGAGCAGAAAGCCAAAATTACATTTTCATATTTCTCTGACTTCTATACATACCCACCCACCCACCTTTGTTGATACCCGTTCCACAACTTCTTGTTATTCTTTGGATAAATAAGTGGTGTATTTATCCACAGATGGCCAAGTCTTTCCTTTCACTCCAGTGTTCTCTAACAAAGTGCTTTCTGTCTCTAGTCATGCCTTCCTGTCTCTTCTGCTTCTCATGCTTCCTCCAGGCACAGGAATTTGTCCACTCTGTTGCCTCTGAGTGGTATGTTCTGCCCTCCCCTCTTTCATAGTGAAGTTCTTCCTATCATTCAGATCTCAGCCCAAGCATTACTTTCCCAGTGAGAACTTCCCTGGAATCCTGCTGAATGAATGACCTCTCTGGGCCCTCTCTGTCCAACACACTACTGCTTGCTGGCATTCACCATGATTGTAGTGATTTTGATTGGGTCATTAGTGTTCTTTCTCCCCATCTAGCTTTTGGACTTTGTGATGGCTGGAATTGTTCTGATTTTATTCAGAATAAAATATACCATTGTATTCCATGATTCAGCGAAGTCTCTGGCACCGAGTAGATACCTAATAATTAAATCCTATCTCATACGATATTGGGAAGATTGAGTGTCACAGTGTGTGTGTGTGTCCCAACCCTTATACCACACTGCTTTTAGGAAGCTCATCTCATTCCCTATAGATTTCCATCCTGAGAAAAGCAATAAATGAAAAACATTAGATTCCAGAAACAATAGAAGGTTCATAAAAGTCACATCAAGGATGCTGGGTTTCTTCTATTCCACCCTCTTTTACATATATGTGTGTGTGTGTGTACACACACACAGGCATATATATATGTATATATTCAGACATATATATATACACAGACACACACATATATATATATGTATATATCACTTATGCCTACAGTCTAGCAAACAGTTAATGATTTTTATTAGTGTTCTACCAAGCAAATAAGACTCTCAGGTATAAATTCCAACCCCCTACTCCCTTTTTATATATCTAGGATTAGACACCTTGTTTCTTTTTTTTTTTTTTTTTTTATTGCATTTTAGGTTTTGGGGTACATGTGCAGAACATGCAAGACAGTTGCATAGGTACACACATGGCAGTGTGTTTTGCTTCCTTTCTCCCCTTCACCCACATTTGGCATTTCTCCCCAGACTATCCCTCCCCAGCTCCCCACCTCCCCCGCTGGCCCTCGCCTTTTCCCCCCAATAGACCCCAGTGTTTACTACTCCCCTCCATGGGTCCATGTGTTCTCATTTTTCATCACCCACCTATGAGTGAGAATATGCAGTATTTCATTTTCTGTTCTTGTGTCAGTTTGCTGAGAATGATGTTGTTCTCCAGATTCATCCATGTCCCTACAAATGACACGAACTCATCATTTCTGATTGCTGCATAATATTCCATGGTGTATATGTGCCACATTTTCCCAATCCAGTCTATCATCAATGGGCATTGGGTTGATTCCAGGTCTTTGCTATTGTAAACAGTGCTGCAATGAACATTCATGTGCATGTGTCCTTATAGTAGAACTATTTATAGTCCTTGAGATATATACCCAGTAATGGGATTGCTGGCTCAAATGGAATTTCTATTTCTAAAGCCTTGAGGAATCGCCACACTGTCTTCCACAATGGTTGAACTAATTTACACTCCCACCAACAGTGTAAGAGTGTTCCTTTTTCTCCACATCCTCTCCAGTATCTGTTGTCTCCAGATTTTTTAATGATTGCCATTCTAACTGGCGTGACATGGTATCTCAATGTGGTTTTGATTTGCATCTCTCTGATGACCAGTGGCAATGAGCATTTTTTTCATATGATTGTTGGCCTCATATATGTCTTCTTTTGTAAAGTGTCTGTTCATATCCTTTGCCCATTTTTGAATGGGCTTGTTTGTTTTTTTCCTGTAAATCTGTTTGAGTTCTTTGTAAATTCTGGATATCAGCCCTTTGTCAGGTGGGTAAACTGCAAAAATTTTTTCCCATTATGTTGGTTGCCAATTTACTCTAGTGACTGTTTCTTTTTCCATGCAAAAGCTGTGGAGTTTCATTAGGTCCCATTTGTCTATTTTGGCTTTTGTTGCCAATGCTTTTGGTGTTTTGTTCATGAAGTCCTTGCCTACTCCTATGTCCTGGATGGTTTTGCCTAGATTTCCTTCTAGGGTTTTTATGGTGCCAGGTCTTATGTTTAAGTCTTTAATCCATCTGGAGTTAATTTTAGTGTAAGGTGTCAGGAAGGGATCCAGTTTCTGCTTTCTGCACATGGCTAGCCAGTTTTCCCAACACCATTTGTTGAACAGGGAATCCTTTCCCCATTGCTTGTTTTTGTCAGGTTTATCCAAGATTGTATGGTTGTAGATATGTTGTGTTGCCTCCATGGCTCTGTTTTGTTCCATTGGTTTATATCTCTGTTTTGGTACCAGTACCATGCTGTTTTGATTACTGTAGCCTTGTAGTATAGTTAGAAATCCGGTAGTGTGATGCCCCCCACTGTGTTCTTTTTGCTTAGAATTGACTTGGCTATGCGGGCTCTCTTTTGGTTCCATATGAAGTTCATGGTGGTTTTTTCCAGTTCTGTGAAGAAAGTCAATGGTAGCTTGATGGGGATAGCGTTGATTCTGTAAATTACTTTGGGCAGTATAGCCATTTTCACAATACTAATTCTTCCTAACCATGAACATGGAATGTTTCTCCATCTGTTTGTGTCCTCTCTTATTTCATTGAGCAGTGGTTTGTAGTTTTCCTTGAAGAGGTCCCTTACGTTTTTTGTGAGTTGTATTCCAAGGTATTTTATTCTTTTTGTAGCAATTGTGAATGGCAGTTCGTTCTTGATTTGGCTTTCTTTAAGTCTGTTATTAGTGTAGAGGAATGCTTGTGATTTTTGCACATTGATTATATATCCTGAGACTTTGCTGAAGTTGCTTATCAGTTTCAGGAGTTTTTGGGCTGAGGCGATGGGGTCTTCTAGGTATACTGTCATGTCGTCTGCAAATAGAGACAATTTGGCTTCCTCCTTTCCTATTTGAATACCCTTTATTTCTTTTTCTTGCCTGATTGCTCTGGCTAGAACTTCCAGTACTATATTGAATAGGAGTGGTGAAAGAGGGCATCCTTGTCTAGTGCCGGATTTCAAAGGGAATGCTTCCAGTTTTTGCCCATTCAGTATGATATTGGCTGTTGGTTTGTCGTAAATAGCTCTTATTACTTTGAGATACGTTCCATCGATACCGAGTTTATTGAGGGTTTTTAGCATGAAGGGCTGTTGAATTTTGTCAAATGACTTCTCTGCGTCAATTGAGATAATCATGTGGTTTTTGTTTTTGGTTCTGTTTATGTGGTGAATTACGTTGATAGACTTGCATATGTTGAACCAGCCTTGCATCCCCGGGATGAATCCTACTTGATCATGATGGATAAGTTTTTTGATTTGCTGTTGCAATTGGCTTGCCAATATTTTATTGAAGATTTTTGCATCTATGTTCATCATGGATATTGGTTTGAAGTATTCTTTTCTTGTTGGGTCTCTGCCGGGTTTTGGTATCAGGATGATATTGGTCTCATAAAGTGATTTGGGAAGGATTCCCTCTTTTGGGATTATTTGGAATAGTTTCAGAAGGAATGGTACCAGCTCCTCTTTGTGTGTCTGGTAGAATTCGGCTGTGAACCCATCTGGACCTGGGCTTTTTTTGTGTGGTAGGCTCTTAATTGCTGCCTCGACTTCTGACCTTGTTATTGGTCTACTCATAGTTTCAGCTTCCTCCTGGTTTAGGCTTGGGAGGATGCAGGAGTCCAGGAATTTATCCATTTCTTCCAGGTTTTCTAGTTTATGTGCATAGAGTTGTTTGTAATATTCTCTGATGATGGTTTGAAATTCTGTGGAATCTGTGGTGATTTCCCCTTTATCATTTTTCATTGCATCTATTTGGTTGTTCTCTCTTTTCTTTTTAATCAATCTGGCTAGTGGTCTGTCTATTTTGTTGATCTTTTCAAAAAACCAGCTCTTGGATTTATTGATTTTCTGAAGGGTTTTTTGTGTCTCTATCTCCTTCAGTTCAGCTCTGATCTTAGTTATTTCTTGTCTTCTGCTGGGTTTTGAGTTTTTTTGATCTTGCTCCTCTAGCTCTTTCAATTTTGACAATGGGGTGTCAATTCTGGATCTCTCCATTCTCCTGTTATGGGCACTTATTGCTATATATTTTCCTCTAGAGACTGCTATAAATGTGTCCCAGAGATTCTGGCATGTTGTGTCTTCGTTCTCATTGGTTTCAAAGAACTTCTTTATTTCTGTCTTCATTTCATTGTTTATCCAGTCAACATTCAAGAGCTAGTTGTTCAGTTTCCATGAAACTGTGTGGTTCTGGGTTGGTTTCTGAATTCTGAGTTCTAACTTGATTGCACTGTGGTCTGAGAGACTGTTTGTTATGATTTCAGTTGTTTTGCATTTGCTGAGGAGTGCTTTACTTCCAATTATGTGGTCAATTTTAGAGTAAGTGTGATGTGGTGCTGAGAAAAATGTATGTTCTGTGGATTTGGAGTGGAGAGTTCTGGAGATGTCTATCAGGTTTGCTTGCTCCAGGTCTGAGTTCAAGCCCTGGATATCCTTGTTGATTTTCTGTCTGGTTGATCTGTCTAATGTTGACAGTGGAGTGTTAAAGTCTCCCACTATTATTGTGTGGGAGTCTAAGTCTCTTTGTAAGTCATTAAGAACTTGCCTTATGTATCTGGGTGCTCCTGTACTGGGTCCATATATGTCTAGGATCGTTAGCTCTTCTTGTTGTATCGATCCTTTTACCATTATGTAATGGCCTTCTTTGTCTCTTTTGATTTTTGTTGCTTTAAAGTCTATTTTATCAGAGATGAGAGTTGCAACTCCCGCTTTTTTTTTGCTCTCCATTTGCTTGGTAAATCTTCCTCCATCCCTTTATTTTGAGCCTTTGTGTATCCTTGCATGTGAGATGGGTTTCCTGGGTACAGCACACTGATGGGTTTTGGTTTTTTATCCAATTTGCCAGTCTGTGTCTTTTGATTGGTGCATTTAGTCCATTTACATTTAGGGTTAATATTGTTATGTGTGAATTTGATACTGCCATTTTGATGCTAGCTGGCTGTTGCCCATTAGTTGTTGTAGATTCTTCATTATGTTGCTGCTCTTTAGCATTTCGTGTGATTTTGGAATGGCTGATACTGGTTGTTCCTTTCTATGTCTAGTGCCTCTTTCAGGAGCTCTTGTAAAGCAGGCCTGGTGGTGACAAAATCTCTGAGTACTTGCTTATTCGCAAAGGATTTTATTTTTCCTTCACTTCTGAAGCTCAGTTTGGCTGGATATGAAATTCTGGGTTGAAAGTTCTTTTCTTTAAGGATGTTGAATATTGGCCCCCACTCTCTTCTGGCTTGTAGTGTTTCTGCCGAGAGATCTGCTGTGAGTCTGATAGGCTTCCCTTTGTGGGTGACCCGACCTTTCTCTCTGGCTGCCCTTAATATTTTCTCCTTCATTTCAACCTTGTTGAATCTGACGATTATGTGCCTTGGGGTTGCTCTTCTTGCGGAATATCTTTGTTCTCTGTATTTCCTGCATTTGAGTGTTGGCCTGTCTTGCTAGGTGGGGGAAATTTTTCTGGATAATGTCCTGAAGAGTATTTTCCAGCTTGGATTCATTCTCTTCATCACATTCTGGTACACCTATCAAACGTAGGTTAGGTCTCTTCACATAGTTCCACATTTCTTTGAGATTTTGTTCATTCCTTTTTGCGCTTTTTTCTCTTATCTCGGTTTCTCGTTTTATTTCATTCAGTTGATCTTCGACTTCTGATATTCTTTCCTCTGCTTGGTCAATTCGGCTGTTGAAACTTGTGCATGCTTCGTGAAGTTCTCGTATTGTGTTTTTCATCTCCTTTAATTCATTTATATTCCTCTCTAAGTTAACCATTCTTGTTATCATTTCCTCGAATCTTTTTTTCAGGTTCTTAGTTTCTTTGCATTGATTTAAAACATGTTCTTTTAGCTCACAAAAGTTTCTCATTATCCACGTTCTGAAGTCTAATTCCGTCATTTCGTCACAGTCATTCTCCGTCCAGCTTTGTTCCCTTGCTGGTGAGGAGTTTTGGTCTTTTGTAGGAGGCGAGGTGCTCTGGTTTCAGGTGTTTTCCTCCTTTTAGCGCTGGTTTCTTCCCATCTTTGTGGATTTATCCACCTGTCGTCTGTGTAGTTGCTGACTTTTCGATTGGGTCTCTGAGTGGACACCCAGATTGTTGATGATGAAGTATTTCTGTTACTTGGTTTTCCTTCTACCAGTCTAGCCCCTCCACTGTACAACTGCTGTGGTTCACTCCAGGCCCTGCTTGTCTGGGGTGCACCTATAGCGGCTACGGAACAGTGAGGGATGCTACCAGTTTCTTTTTCTGCTATCTTTGTCCCAGAATGATGCCTGCCAAATGTCAGTCTTTTGGATATTGAGGGGTCAGGGAGCTGATTGAGGAGACAGTCTGTACTTTATAGAAGCTCAAGTGCTGAGCTGTGAGCTCTGTTTTTAATTCAGGGCTGTTAGGCTGCTACGTTTAATTCTGCTGCAACAGAACTTAAAAAAAAACCTTTTTTTCTCAGATCCTCTGTCTTGGTGGGGTTGGGGCTTTCTTTGTGAATGTCCGTTGTGCTGTCCTGCCCAGTTAGGAGGCAGTCTAGTCACTATTTGCCTGCTGAGGCTCCGCCCTGCTGGTGTGAGGTTCGCCCTGTTGCTGCAGGCTGTGGCCTTCTACTGTGGTCTCCGCCCTGCTGCCATGGGCTACGCCCTGTGGCAGATTCTCTCTGTTGTAGCGGGTTGCCTTGGCAACAGCAGGCTACGTCAGCAATGGGCGTTTACCTCAGTAGGAGTGGATTGCCTCGGTAATGGCGAGTGCCCCTCCCCCACAGAGCTGCACTATCCTGGGTTCAGCTGTGCCCGCGCCCGGAGCGTTTGGAATCGCCATTTTGTTTGTCCCACTGCGCTACCCCAAACGCTGCTTCCCTGGAATCTCCTGGGCTGGCTCACTGTCCACGTCCCGTTCAGCCCTCTCAAGTCTCAGATTGCCGGTTCAACAGGGCACCCGGACCAGTGCTCTTTGTGCGGAGCGCTGTGTAGCGCCACTGCGCTACAGCGCCGGCCAAAACCTCTGCTTGGCGTCCCACTTTTCTTTTATACCTGGGAATTTCCCTGTTCTGTGGGCAACAAAGATCCATCTGGAAATGCGGCCCTGACTCACCCTCTCCGTGCATTCACCAGAGCTTCAATCCTGAGTTGTTCTCACCACGCCATCTTGAGTCCTCCTCCGACACCCTGTTTCTTTTTGCAGTCCTCTTCCCCATCCCACTCCTGCCTTTGCTCACTTTTTGCCTTTCCCCCCTTTGTTTCTGATTCTCTGTATAAACCAAGCATTCAGCCAGTTGTGCATACGCTCCTCCTACTGCCAAAACATCCCTGACTCCACCTAACCCCAAATTTACACTCATCTCTCAAGACTGAACATAAATATGTTGTCTCTGTGCAGTCTTCCCATCTTCTGTCAGTCCTCTAGACACTTAGGGCTGCCTCGCCTCCCCTGCACTATGTTCACAGGACTGTTATTGCACTTATCATGGGATCGTAGCTGCTGCCATGTTGCTCTCCCCACCAAGCTGTGAGCTATTTTAAGACAAGAACTCAGTCTTTTTGTCTCTAGAACCTGCATATAGCCTGGCATAATGTCATAGCTCAGTAAATATCCATTGAATGTATGACCAACCACTGCTGGTGCCTCCCTCCACAGGAGAAATTATTTCATTTGCTAAATACTAAACAAAATATTAAAGCTCTGGTATACAAATTCCAGGCCATTTTACTCTCTATGAAGTTAATAAGTTGATGTTAGAAGATTGAAAATAATGTGGTTTCCCAAAGACTTCAGTACCCCCAGTTGCTTTACTGTTTATCCTCAAAGAATGTGTTGACAGTTTGCATGGAGAAGTCTGCATAATAATAATTTTGTTGTGAGGTTTAAAATAAATCTTGGTGTGTGTAAGAATATAAGTTAATATTTATGAAGCAATATATCAGTTATTAAATTACATAAAATACATCAAGACTATATAATGTTATGCCCTGAAAGAACAGGACTTCAATACATTTGACTCATTCAAGAAACACAGAATTGTAGACAGAGAATATATAATGGGTACCTGAATAGAGGATTAGGTAGGACCCAGCAGTATGCAGGGCTTTGGCAACTAATGAAATGTTTAACAGGTGTTTGGCATTACGTGGATTCTTTCCTTCAGATTCAGTATGAACAAAGACTAGAGCAGCAGGAGCAGCTCCTTGCTTGCAAATTGAATCAACATCACTCTCCCAGAATTAAAGCACTAGAGAAGGAACTTGATGACACTAAGGAAGCCCATCAGATCACTGTACGAAAGCTTGAAGCTGAAATAGACGTTCTTAAGCACCAGAATGCTGAATTAGACGTCAAGAAAAGTGGTAAAGTTGATAAAGACTTTCAGTCTATAGAATTTCAAGTGGAGCAGGCTCATGCTAAAGCTAAACTAGTAAGACTCAATGAAGAGCTGGCTGCAAAAAAGAGAGAAATACAAGACCTTTCAAAAACTGTGGAGAGGCTTCAGAAAGAAAGAAGAATGATGCTATCTAATCAGAACTCTAAGGGCAGAGAGGAAATGTCTGCCAAAAGGGCAAAGAAAGATGTTTTGCACTCAAGTAAAGGGAATGCTAACTCCTTCCCTGGAACCCTGGATAGCAAGCTTTACCAGCCACGAACTTTCACTGATTCCCATGTTTCAGAAGTTTTAGAAGAAAACTACAGATTAAAAACTGAGCTAGAGGAATTAATTTCAGAGAAGAATGATCTGAAGATGAAATCTGAAGCAGCAATGAATGAATTTGAAAACTCCATGAGAAGGTAAAATGTTAAATTATTTATAAATAGAGAAATAAAAACAAAGTTGAAAAATTATAAGATACATTTCCTCCAGATAATTAGACACTGAACTGAATTCATAAGTGAATATTAATATATTACATTGCTGAGCACATATGTTTTAGCCCAAATTCTGATGAAACTGAACCTCTGTGTCATTCCAAATTGTGTCCTTGGGCTCACCAGTCTTGCCTCTCAGCACATACCCAAATGGTGTTAACAAGCTGATTCATTGAGCTCTTCTAGCAAAAGAATGTCATAGTTTATTATTGCTATAGGCAGATTGCTTTCAGAAAACAACTGTTGTTAAAACTACTTGGCAGTCTAGAAGGAAAAGGTCCTCTTTTCAAAAATAACTTCAGATTGACCTTATGATCATATCCATTCATGCTTTAAGGAACTTTAAAGTCATCCATTTCCTTCTCACAATCTCCAGTTGCTATCTACTGTCTCTTTCCTCTGAGTCTTTTGACATCCTCAGATCTTTTTTTCACCTGACCAAGTTCCAGTCCCCTGTCTTTCAGTGCCAGTTTTTCACAAATAGTCTTTTAAATCTATCTCATTTTCTCTTAAATATGGCTCTCATCATCACCCCTTTTAAACCTGGTCACAATAATGACGTTTCCCAGTCCAGTGGCATTTTCTCCATCCTCATTTTCTTCAGCAATGTTGACCATACTACTTAACCTCCATGACTTGGCAGCTCTAACAAAAACTCCTTTTCTGTTTCTTTTACCGACTTTGGACCCTTCTTTCTTCTCCATCCCCAAAAATCTGGCTTTTTACCAGCATTCAGCTCTTGGTTTTCTGTTTATTCTCTGTTCTTTCTCCATTGCTAAACTTACCCATTCTTACAGCTTCTATGAACCATGACTTCTAGATTTACTTTTAAAGACTTGTTCTCTTAGCTGAGTTCAGATGTGAAACCTAAACTATTTATTGGATTGCTTATCTTAGAATCACCAATACCTCAAGTTCCCTTTTTATTTACCTATAAACTAGTTCCCCCTCCCAAACTCCCCTTTGCTGTCTATATTTATTTTAACTACCAGGCCAGCTTAATCTGTTATTCCTTGGGTATGTTTCCCATTTTTCTTTCTTCCTTACTTTAATAAACCAGTGCCACCATTACACACTTTTCCCACTCCATTTTTTTTTAACCTTCCCCAGTCATTTTGCTTAAAAATCATTAGTATTATTTAAATACTCCTGTATTTGAGTCACTCTGCTCTCCAGTGACTCCCAACATGCTTAAAATATCAAGACAAAATTTCTCGCCTTGCATGTTAAGTACCATAACTATTCTAATACTACTCTACTTACCTAATCTGTCACATTTTCTTATGCCTTTTGCTCATTCTTGTTACATCCTACTTTCATAAAACATTTCTTGGAACTTCCCAGGAAATTGCCTTCTCCCACCCCCAACTCCTACACAACTTACTAATATGTACTAAGGAAGCATTAATCATACACAACCTTGTAGTTCTCTGAGAACTGGTGTAAGATGGTGCTGCTTTTGCATCCTCACAGCAGTCTGCTGTAGGAGCAGAATGAGCATGGGAAGCACCCAACAAATGCTTATTAACTGGCAGCCATGGCAGTGGTTGAGTCATGTTGTTACCATATGGCAGTCATATTGCTACCAGATAGAAACCTTGTTTCTTCAGTCCTGAATATTATGATAGTAGCATGAAGCTATGTTTAAGAAGAATCATATTATTTCCAGGAAAGAATTTAAAATTCAGGTTTTCCAATAAAATTTCCTGTACATCATTTAAAATGTGTTAATATTCTCAATCTGTTTCTTAGATAAGTCTGGGCCTGAGAAGTAATAAACTTTTCTAGTCCCAGATTTAGACTTTTTAATTAGCATTCATTTATATCATATGTGCTTTAATTAGGTTTTTATGCTTTTCCTAGGATCCTATTCACACTGTTTCCATGGAGGAATATTCATATGGTGAAATAAGCAATGGATAAATTTGTCTATAGTTGGGAAGTGCCATATTAATATGTAGCAACAGCAGTTTAATAAAATACATGCTTTAAGTTAAATCCTATTATTTTCAAAGTCTTTCCAATAAGAGAGAAAATGTATATCTATAGGAAATATATCTTTGTTTATAATTTTACCATTTACTGAACTGCCTGTGAATAATTTTTATCACAGAGACAAATGGTCTGTCACACTTAGTCTAAATTAATTAATTGTATATTACAAGCATAATATGCCCTGAGAATAAATGTAAAGATTGTCTCATTCTTACAACATGCAACTAGCCCTGGAGTCTCATGCATGCATGGATCAAAAATTGGTTAATGCTGCTTAGACACAAGGCATTGAAGATTCTAAAGAGAACAGCTGTGATTTTCCAAAGACGCATCTGGGCAAGAAATCTGATTTTATCTTCAAAGATCAAATGTCAAGTGCTTTGCTTTAAATTCAGACAGTTATTTTGGAACATTAGATTCCCTCAGAAAGTGTAGCCTCAGGCTGGGGATAAAGTAGAGATATGTCACTATTTCATCAAATTTGCCCTTATAAAATTTAGTAAATACTAATGAGCTCATGGATTGGTCACAAGAACTCGTAGACAATAATGTACAAAGCACCTATCATAATGCAGTTAATATTAGTGCCCTTTTTCCCTTTGCTTAATTTCCAGGTTTCTTATACTGTTTTTGTGCTAACTCTGAATTAGAGATTGAAGAGCCACTCTTATGTGTGGTTTTCTTTCATTTGCTCTGTAGGGTCAAGGAAGATAGTGCAGCACACATTGCATCCCTCAAAGCATTTCATCAGAGGGAAACAGAGAAACTCCTTTGCCAAAATGCAGTAGAAAATTCTTCTTCCAAAGTAGCAGAACTAAATCGTAAAATAGCAACTCAAGAGGTATGTGACAAATCGGTTTTATCTTTTGACTTGAATAAACTTGTTTTGACTTTAATGAGATTAAAGTTAACATTGTTTAATTTGGAAATAACTTTTCAGATTGGTGATAGAAATGGAAAACTTATTGACTTGATTTCTTTTTAAAGAAGATAATACCATTACCATATATTTAACTTTTCTACTTTAAAACTATGCCATGTAAATACATGTTTTTACAGTTTTGCCCCTAAACTTCTCGAAAGTCTTTCTCTAAGTACATTGTCACAGGTTGTGAGGTATATATCTAACATGATTGGGATCCTAGTACTTGAACTTGGATGTTGAACCAAGTCCCCAAGTCCTAGCTGACAGTTATCCTAAGGCATTCTTCCTGCCCCATGACGTTTTATTTATTGAACAAATAATGATACAGATTCAGAGACCATCGGGAACTGGGATAAAATAATGAACAGAGAATACACAGCTCTTGCTCTGATTCAGCATAGTCTTCTAAGAATTCCTGTATGGAATAACACCAACTCATCAGCATTTTCTCAAATGCGTCTTTTTTTTTGAATAATAGCTATAGCTACTCGGAATATCTATGAGCATGACCATGTGGCCTATCTTCTGTACTGTTAATTGCTTGTAAAAATAGCATTAAAATAGGACTTTTATCTACAGTTGACTTTCAAATGGGTGTATCCAAGAAAAAGAAAAGGTGGCAAATCAGCCACCTTTTTTTTTAATCTATCAGCCACCTTTTGGTTTATCAAGTTGAAAAATACATGAATGTTTATTGTGTTCATCTTGTCTATAGGCTTCAATTTTAAGAAAGAAGCTCAAGGAAAAAAACAGGAAGAATTCTCACCACATGTAATTATCTAATACCATTTTAATTAAAAATAAATTCCAAAATTGGGGAAGTTTGAATATGAACTGGCTATTAATACTAAGAAATTATTATAAATTTTCTTAGGTGTAAAATGTTGTGGTTTTGTGAAAAATGCCCTTATTCTAAAGAGATGTATGTTGAAGCATTTGAAGGTTTTAAGACAGTCTCTCGCTCTGTCACCCATCTTGGCTCACTGCAACCTCTGCCTCCTGAGTAGCTGGGATTACAGGGGCGCGCCACTACACCCGGCTAATTTTTGTGTTTTTAGTAGGGATGGGGTTTCACCATGTTGGACAGACTGGTCTTGAACTCGTGACTTCAAATGATCTGGCCACTTTGGCTTCCGAAAGTGGCATTTGAAGTATTTAGGGGTGAAATGTAATGAGGTCTGTAACTTAACTTCAGATTGCTGAGGAAAAAAGGACTGTTTGACTACTTTAATGAAAAATACTTAAAAGTGCCTTTCGAAAGTAACAGTCCATACAGTCTTACAGAGAACTTCTCTGGCCTTATCCCCCATAGAAAGAGGGTGTCAGAGGGCAACTATAAGCATTCTATCAATGATTTTGTAGTAAGGAATAGTCTGGGAGAGGTGGAAAAAGTAGTATCATGATGCCATAGTGCCATAAATTGTATTTTCCCAGAGTTATAAGTATTGTAAAATTGAGTTAAAGAGAAATCAGCATAGTCTGATGGTGAAAAGTAGAGTTAGAGATAAGATATATACAGTTTTCCTAATTTCTCCTAGTTTCTTGATGGAAGTATCTATTCATGTATTTCAGTTTACCTAAAAATAGGACGTATCTATTTCATAGATGATACTGTGAGGCTTGTGTTATTTTAATCAATAGTTCTTATATAAAAACTTATCATACTTAACCATAGTATAAAGATAATATTGTCTTTTTCCAAATGCATAGACTTTATAGAGCTTTATTTTAAAAGGACTTTTTCTAGTCATGAAAAATGTTCGGCCCGGCGGGGTGGCTCAAGCCTGTAATCCCAGCACTTTGGGAGGCCGAGGCAGGTGGATCACGAGGTCAAGAGATCGAGACTATTTTGGTCAACATGGTGAAACCCCGTCTCTACTAAAAGTACAAAAAATTTAGCTGGGCACGGTGTTGCATGCCTGTAATCCCAGCTACTCAGAAGGCTGAGGCAGGAGAATTGCCTGAACCCAGGAGGCGGAGGTTGCGGTGAGCCGAGACCGCGCCATTGCACTCCAGCCTGGGTAACGAGCGAAACTCCGTCTCAAAAAAAAAAAAAAGAAAAATGTTCATATTTATTTCCCTCCCTTTTATTGATATTTAATGATTTAGATATTTATGGGATACATGTGTTTGCTACATGCAAAGAATGTGTAATGAGTCAGGGTAATAGGATTTTCATCACCTTGAGTGTTCATGATTTTTATGTCTTGGTATCACTTTAAGCCCTGTCTTCTAGTTACTTTGAAATACACATAATATTGTTGCTAAGTACAGTCACTCTGGTCTGCTATCAAACATTAGAACTTAATTCATCTATCTAACTGTGTGTGTGTACCCATAACCAACATCTCTTCATCCTTCCCAATCTCCTCCCATCTCTGGTATCTATTGTTCTATTCTCTGTGTTCATGAGTTCAAGTTTTTTAGCTCTCATATAAGTGAGAACATGCAGTATTCTTCTGTGCCTAGCTTACTTAACAAACATAATGACCTTCAGTTCCATCCATTTTACTGCATATGACATTATTTCCTTATTTAAAGCTGAATTGTATTCCATTGTGTCGCATTTTTTTTCATCTGTTGATGGGAACTTAGGTTGATTCCTTATCTTTCCTGTTGTGAATAGTGCTGCAATAAGCATGCAAAGTGGCCAGGTATCCTTTTGATATACAGATTTCTTTAACTTTGGATAAGATACCCAGTAGTGGGATTGCTGGATAATATGTAATTCTATTTTTAGTTTTTCGAGAAATCTCTAGTTTTTTCCGTAGTGGTTATACTAACTTACATTCCCACCAACAGCATATGAGAGTTCCCTTTTATGAGTTTGCTTGCTTATATTTTTCAGATAGTCTTTAAGGAGGAGCATTATTAACTCAGTACTTCTAACAATTTCCTAGGTACTTATAAAACATTTCCAAAGTCAAGTTAATGAGCTGCAGAGTAAACAAGAGTCTCTTGTAATTTCTCAAGTTCGAGAAGAAATTCTACAGAAAGAGGTAAGACATAGCCAAATAGTTTGGCTAAAATAAGTTTTTCTTAGGCATTTCACTCATACTCATATTTATGTATAATTTTTTACCTAATGTACAAATAGACATAACCTGAAAGTATCTGTCATGTGCCAAGAAAATATTAATAGTGTGCTTATGTAAAATCTGTTTTCTCCAGGTGATATTAAGTCATTAAGCTGTTTATGTTTTATTTTGCTGAGATTTTGTGGGTGTTGCAGAAAATGGGATGGGAGATGTTTGGGTTTTCTGTTTGTTTTCTTCAGGAGACAAAATTGAATAGTGATAGCCATTTCTGTGTTAAATACTGTCAGGGAGGAAAAGTAATTTTTTTCTCAGCCCTCATGAGTTTTTAGCTGAGACACACCCCATAACAAAAGACAGTAATAAGAGAAAAACAAGTTTATTAAGTAACACGTGTAGCACAGAATTTGGGAGAAACCGCAACACAAATGGTGGCTTAGAACTCTCCAAGTTGGTAGCTTTGAAGGTATTTGGATTAGAGATTGTGAGATAAGAGACTGGCAAAGGAAGAAAAAAGCCTAGATTGGAACAAGTACAAATGAGCAAATTTAAGTACATTGCCCTGTATCAAATCATTAGTGCTGAGAATAGATTAATTCAATTAAGCAGTTGTGTCTCATTTCAGGAGATATTGTAGGTGAGTTCTCATCAAAGTTCAGCCTCTAGATAATTAATAAGAGGCATTTCTGTGGAAACAAAAACAAAAGTTAAGAGTAGAAATAGTCTGTATACTAATTTCTGAATCCTAAGGGCCACTGGTCAAGAGTTCTAGATGTTGGGCTCAAAGCATTTTTTGCGGTTTGAATATCTCTAGTTCTAAGTGTGTGGCCCACACAGCAATAGGCATGAAAATTGTCCATATGTGAGCTGTTGTGGTAAATCTCCGCCGTTTATATCAAGTCGTTCAGCTTATTAGGATTTCAGGAAAAAGACAGTTAAATGTTTTATGTTTTAGTGATTTCAAGCCAGGAGGGTAGGAGAAAAATTAGAAATACTAGTCTGGAGAATTACAGAGATTGGAAGAAACTAGAAGAATACAGGATCTAGACCAGATTACAGATAAATAACAAAACCTCAGAGATAAAGAACAAGGCTAGAATCTGCTATCTGCAGGGGTGCGTTACAGTTTTATAATGAAGTACAATATGTTTCTCTCTGCACTCACCCTGATTTCTATCAGAGATAATCACAGTAAGACCCAATGTGTTCACAAAAGTCGTCTTATTAAACTTGGCTTGGTTATTTGCATAAAAGTGCAGCAAGAATAGTAATTAATCATACAGGCTCTTTTATAAGCCTGCTTTGCTGAAACTTTTAATAAGGATTCTCTGATTGGCCCTTTATTGGCCGCCCCAGGTTAGGAATGCATGCCAAAGGCTTGCCATCAGATTTTGCCTGCAATACCTATAGAGTCAGGTAAATTCCTTTCTTTTCTAAAGATCCCCCAAATATTCTGAGGCTCCTGGGCTTGTCAGGAAGTGACATTTCTTACTCATCTGCAAGGAAACCATGTATATAAGATATCAAGCCAGTTTTTTCCAAGTATTGGCACCAAAAAGTCAATGTGTTTTTTAAAACTGTCTGATTATATCTGATTCTATGCACATTCTGAAATATGACATTCCAGTCAAAGCCTTGGTAATATAACTGATGTTTCCAGTTGTGTTACAAAGAGAACAGATTCTTACTGAACTTAAGCAAATATTTATATCACTATGAAAATAAGATTACTCACTAATGGTTTCTGGAATGATCCAGGAAAAAAAGATAAATGCTTCAATTCTGTTTTCAAAAGTATAATTTACCAAAGTGCTCTAAGCTATGGATAGCTTAAGAGAAAAACTTCTCTTAAATATGAAAAACAGAATATTAAAGAATCAGCAATGTTTTAAACAGAAAGGCCCTAAAAAGAATACTTCATCAGTTACTTAGTCCCGTGTAAGTAATTCTTGTTCTGCTTGATGTTGAGTTAGCAATTCTATGAACCAATCAATCTTTTCATTAGAATTCTGAAATATTCTTACCTGGCCCAGTGGTATGATCTTGAAGTTACCAGAAACCTTTGTGTGTCAGAGTCCTTTCCATGAATCTTTTTGAAGATAAAACACTTCGTATTTATAGTTGCTTACAAAAGCTCTTAGGAAAGAAAGTAACAGGGTAAAACAATTAACTATCTGTGAATGACAAGACCTTAGCCGTAGTTAAACATCTGATAAGAGTTTATTATAATGCACTTGATATGGAAATTTGGTTATTTCTGTGACAATACAACATTTTAAGATACTAACTAGAATTATTACTGATAACATCATACCAAGACATACCAGATTTTTAGGAATTATGTACAAGTTCTGGAACATTTATAACTCAAAGAAGATTAAACATTGTCTTTATTTGACAATGATTCCTATGCAATTTAACATGTCAAATAAGCCTAATTACTTTGACATCTCTGTTTTTTAAAAGGAGAAAGAACAGATTCTTTTGAGATTTTCTGTGGCCCTCTGGAACATCCCAAAGTTAGCTTGAGGTCAAAAAGTTTAAATCATTTGATTAAATAGGATCACAGGTTATTATGAAATAACAGTTATCCAGAGTAATTATTAAAAGATTCTAAAGGCAAATAAATACAGAAAGTCACATAGGGAGAAGACGCAGTAAGTGATCAAAGAACTGATAGAGACCATAGGAAACACAGGAAGTTATTTTACTAAAACAGAAAATCTTTGCTTTCTACATAGATTAACCTAAAGGTAAAGAAAGCCTTCCGGCCGGGCACAGTGGCTCAAGCCTGTAATCCCAGCACTGTGGGAGGCAGAGGTGGGTGGATCACGAGGTCAAGAGATCGAGACCATCCTGGTCAACATGGTGAAACCCCGTCTCTACTAAAAATACAAAAAATTAGCTGGGCATGGTGGCACGTGCCTGTAATCCCAGCTACTCGGGAGGCTGAGGCAGGAGAATTGCCTGAACCCAGGAGGCAGAGGTTGTGGTGAGAGATCGCCATTGCACTCCAGCCTGGGTAACAAGAGCGAAACTCCATCTCAAAAAAAAAAAAAAAAAAAAAAAAAAAAGAAAGCCTTCCATAGTCTCTAACCAAGAGCAGACCAATGCTCCAAGAAAGCTTTGTTGTTTTAAGAGAGAAGACCAATTACTAGTTTTGTCCACTGTACTTTTGATATCAAGGCTTATTTTTAAAACCCTTATAATAAATGTGTTCTGTTTTAGACAGCTTGGACACAGAAGATATTCATGCATTCTCATTTTCTCCCTCTTCAAGCTTTCTATGTTCATTCATTTTTTGTCCTTTATTCTCCTTTTTCATTCTAAAACAGTCTATCATTCTACTTTAGTACAGATTTAATTATTCTTTTTCCTTTAACAAAAACACAGCTTCATTCCTAACTTTGCTTACCAAAACTATAAACTTATTTTTCTTGTATATTTTGCATACAAAGTTGTTACCCTTATCATCTTTAGTACTTTTAAATATATGTATATAAAACTTTTAATCCATACTAACCTTAATTTCTTTCTTTTGAAAACCACAAAGTAAGCAATCATGACCTGTCATATACCAACATTTGGCAGATTAACATCATTTAATGATTTCTAGAAGCATATTTTTTGGTTTTTTTTTAATGTGACAATAAGAACAGGTGATTAACAGACCCAAACATCTTTCTCTGTAAAAATTAAGAAGCCAAGGTAAATAATCTTATGTTCAGCAACATGAGTCTCTGAAACAATGTTTCAGTATATTTGGAAATGATCTAGATATTCAGTGAATATTTATTATTTAACTTAGCAAAACCCTAAGGATGTAAGTTATACCAAAGAGATTTGGGAAACTAATTTTTTTGTTTTACAAACGTAAAACATAATCATTATTGAAGAGTTTATAAATTTTATCCCACTAATATTTACTTAATATACTTGTTATTAACAATTATACTTGTATTGCTCATGAAAATTCACAAGCCATTAAACAGCTAATCATTGTCTTATTTTCCTGTTAACTATTTTTACAACACATGCATGTTAGACAAGCAGCACAGAAACAAATACATGTTTCCTTTTCCTGCTGTGCTTAATATATATGGAATAACGGATACGGTACTTGGACTTGCATGTTTGATTTGGGTCTGAACTCCTAAGTCTATAATTTTAAATATCTAGCAGAGATAAACTTATTTGAGTAGTAAACCCAGGTAGAATAAGGGTTGTATGTCTGCATTATACTTACTGTTGACAATTCTGAAGGCATGTCTATTTTTATTAAATCAATAATATTAAACTAATCATATACCAGATTTACCTGAAACACATGAACTTGAAAAGCATTTGGGTTAGTTTCAAGTCAATTAAATAGTGCTCTTTTATGAATTACTTTTGACAGTACCATCCAAAGGTAGAAAAAATATCTATCTATATATACACAGACATATTAGACATACATAGACAGAGGCAAACAGAGATTATATGGCTTTCATTTAAAAATTTTAGCCATGAAACAGGCACAGTAATATAAAACTCACTAATTTATAAAAGAACAGTTGAATGCAAATTGTATTTTGGCAGATGCAATAAATTAAGGTTACCTGCTTAGATGGCCAAACTTTTTACCAGTATTTGTGAGGAAGACCTTTAAATTTTTTCATTTGCCCTTTGTAGGTAATGTTATGGAGGGAGGCTATAGACTAAATTCTGAGTAAAGGAGTTTTTATAGCAGTGTGTTTAAAATGCACACAAAAAAAACTTCTTTTTCTTTAGTCTTAAATGTATCTGGAAGTTCTTTTAGGTAACTCCTTGAATGTTTAAATTTCAAAGACATGGTAAGATTTACATCACTGAGGGACTGAGAAAGGATGTAAGTTTCCTCCAAGAAGGAGTTTTAGGGCATATTCGCCTATTATAAAAGATCCAGGGTTTTTTGTTTTTTGTTTTTTTAAGGTTTTTTATTT